TTTGGAAAGAGCCAGGCTAGCTTTTCCCCTTGTTTTTTTAGTCTTTGTGCTAGCTTTAAGCTTAGCTAGCCACCTGCTGGCTGTAGTTTCATATCTACCACGCTGACTTGAGAGTGGATATCAATCTTCTTATCGAGCTTTAGGCAAGAAAAATAAGTGTCTATCCCAAAATGTTGAACTTCTGCATGGGTCAGGGGAAGACCAAAGGGAATAAGAGACAGTCTATGTACCTAATCATGTATGTACAGTGTATGAATATCATGGATGATTATCCTGTATCATGCTGCATGTGGTTCACAGAGCTGCATCTCATTCCCACATTTCACACAGACAAGCCTGTCACCAGTGTGCACCAAACACTTCAGAAGAATGTGTCAACTTTGCCCCACTAAGGAGGGGTGAAAGCGGGCTTGTCTTTTAGCCAGAGAAAAAGGGTGGCTGGTTTGGGGGGGGGGGGGTTGCAGAGGCAGGAGAGAGCCAGAGCAGTGGCAACGTTACTAATGAGCAACAGGTGCTGAAGGGCAGTAGCATGGAAGCCATCTGTACTGCTGGAAGGCATCTATCCGTCTATCCGCATAGACAGCGAAAGATACAATCACAAAAACACACACACACACACACTAAACTCATTGACACCAACAGATAAAATATAAAGTGTCAGTCATGCTAGTGTGGTGTGCTGGGTCATCACTTGACCTTCCTGCTGCTTTGAAACTTGCCAGAGCTGAAGTGTGACCCTGGTCAAATCGACCCTGGTCACCCCGACAGACATACAGACACACTCAATCACCCAGTCGCTGACTTGCCTCCAGGTTGCCTGCGGGCATACTGGAGGCACATGAGAGCTTGTTCTTTTCCTTTGTTTACTTATCGTCACAATTTTACTTTAGGAGAATAAGTTCCACCCTGAGGTAGTGGAGCACATCTACCAGCACAATCCCATCCTGAAGTACACCCAGGGCCCCTTGTACGCTCCTCTGCTGCCCTTCCCCTACGGCAGCCTGGAGCACACATGTAAGTAGTTAACATGTACATGTCTACATTATCATAACAACACTGTCTGTCTCAGTCTTTCTTGGAGGTGTTCATACATTATATAACAAAATTTGTATACAATATTCTTGACTATATTAACAGTTATGTAAGTTTTATCTAGCAGAAACTGACCATTCAAGCTTCTGTGTTTGTTCAGTTGTGTTCAGCAGTTACCATTAACTTTAACTACCGTTCAAGGTCTTTATTGCTAATTGTAATGAAGCTATGTAATCTCTTTGATTACTATGCTGTTGTAATCTCTTTGATTACTATTGCTCAGAGGCAGCATTTAACACAATGCAGGTCACTATAAGAACACCCTTTCTTGGCTTAGTTGTTTCATTAAAGTAAGTGCAAATGGACACACCACAAAACTAAAAGATTAAAAAGAGACAATAAGAACAATATATGTAATAAATGACGGTATTACAGCATAAATGTCTACAGTAACTCAATTATGCTTACATAACACAATGTTAGCATCATACAGATATCCTGAAGAGTTAAAAAACAGGAAGAAAATCCAAGTATAACTAATATTGCACTGCTCGTCTTGCTCTTTCTTTCAGACCATAGCGGAAAAGGCTACGGCTCGGTGCGAGAGGAGGCCGTGAAGCTCTTCAACTGCCTGCAGCAGCTAGAATCGGCACGGGAACCGATTCCCATCATCCAGGGCGTGCTGCAGACCTGCTTGGACCTGCGGCCCCTCCGCGACGAGGTCTACTGCCAGCTAGTGAAGCAGACCAGCTACACACCTGCCCCGTCCACTGCTGCACACCTCCGCTACTGGCAGCTTCTCACCTGCATGAGCTGCACCTTCCTGCCAGGGCCCACTGTGCTCAAGTACCTGCGATTCCACCTTAAGAGGTGAGATAACACTAAGAATTTTTAAAGAGGAGAAACTGTAGATTTTAATGTTTTCTAGTATTGTAGTATTCCACAAATGAAAAAATAGTGAGAAGTGAGGTGCATAAATAAATCCTGCTGACTGAAGAAAGCTGATCACATGATTTCCGACTTGTAATTGCAAATGGAAAATATGGGATTTTTCTTGGTTTTGCTGGCTCTGATTTGTCTCAGTGGGAAATTGTGAAAGAGAAGTGAATCAGTAATAGAAACAGTAACATTGCAGGGTGTTTTTTTATACTCATAACAGTTAGTTTATGATTATGACCTAAGTCAAAAGCAAAGACAACAGAAGTGTAGCAAGAAGATGCCATGTCCCATAAGAATGGGACATCAGACCAGTAGTCAGTTGTTCGATATGAGTGAGCACATTAGGGAGAACAGGTTGAATGCTGGGAAATGGTGAACCAGTAGTGTGCAGTAGCAAGGAAAACGGGGGTCTAGACAGCGGACAAAAAGTAGGCGCCAGCACCATTGGCGACCAGTTTAGATATAGTAGCGTGATATGCCTTCACATTGTTAGCGTGTTCCACCAGACAGATCCAGTGTTTTAGGGCTGGATTTGCAGGTCTGAATTAGCCCTTCTGTCAAGCATGCTAATCTAAGTTTTTAGCAGTGCTAATCTCCTGCTCTAGCTTTTCTGTCTAACGACATGCCATCTAACCACTAGAGTTTTCTATCTATATGTCTGTGCTGGGAATCACCCTCTAGCTAATGGAACAGTTGCATGCAATGGTGATTCATAATAACGCTCTGGAACTTGCTGCCTGTGTGTTTTGATGTGTCTTGCTGTCGCTCTGACGTACTCTCTCACTCTGTGGATCAGTGCTGAGGCTGCAGCTGGGCTGAGCTAAGACTGGAGCTGGGCAGTGGGCCCAGAAGCCCTCCTCCTCTCCCCCAGTGCCCTGAGAAACCCCCAGGGAATGTCTGCTGTCAGAGAGAATAGGCCAGCAGAAAGAAAGCAGAGGAGGAGGAGGGGGCAAGAAAGGAGGAAAGAGCAGAGAGGGGTGAAGAGAGAGGAGAGTATAGGAAGGATCACATAGACTCAGTGGAACATTCCTAATTATGTTTCAGCAGGACAAATCCCACCCTGTGGCCATATAGTTATGAGAGACATCGGAGGGAATGAGAGGGCCTCTCTCTGTCTGGCAGAATGTTTGAGTCCCTCTTGTTCGCCTCTCTCTGTCCTCCGTTTTGTGTATTTTGGGACGAACATCGCAGTATAATTGTTTCCTTCCTATTTTTCCCTCTGTGTTTACAAAGGGCTGAGCTCATAACTCCATCAGGTTGTATTTCACACCTTTCACACTGTGCAAAGTGTGTGAGACTTCAGGCTCCAGTTGTAGTGTGTTGTCTACTACCTTGGTGTCCCCTCTTTTAAAACAACAGCACACACACACACACACACACACACTCACACACACTCGCACTGTCCCAAACCCCAAACTAGCCTGG